TCATAGACCTCTGTTATTCTTTTGTGTTTACACCCAAAATGCTGATGAACTTTATTTTGGAGAAGAATATTATCTCCTACAAGGGATGCATGACCCAACTTTTCTTTTATTGCTTTTTTGTCATTTCTGAATGTTATATGCTGATGTCAATGGCCTATGATCGCTATGTGGCTATCTGTAACCCACTTCTGTATCACCTTGCCATGTCCCCTACAGTGTGCTTCAGCCTTATGTTTGGTTCCTATCTGATGGCCTTCTCTGGGGCCATGGCTCACACTGGATGCATGCTGAGACTGACCTTCTGTGAGGCAAACACCATCAATCACTACTTCTGTGACATCCTCCCTCTGCTCCAGCTCTCCTGCACCAGCACCTACATCAATGAGCTGGTGGTTTTCATTGTGGTGGGCATCAACATCATTGTGCCCACTGTCACCATCTTTATCTCTTATGGTTTCATCCTTTCCAGCATTCTTCATATCAGCTCCAAGGAGGGCAGGTCCAAAGCCTTCAGCACTTGTAGTTCCCACATAATTTCTGTTTCTGTGTTCTTTGGATCAGGTGCATTTATGTATCTCAACCCATCTTCTGCTGGGTCCATGGATAAGAGAAAATTATCTTCCGTTTTTTATACCAATGTGGTTCCCATGTTGAACCCCTTAATCTATAGCCTGAGGAACAAAGATGTTAAATTTGCCCTGAGAAAAGCCCTGAATACTAGGAAACTTTGATAAGTACCAGTATGTCTCTGTGTATATAGTTCCAAGACACGGATATTCTGTTATTTAATTATAATACTATACTAGCAGTCTTCTTGTCCTATTCTTTTTTACCATGGTAAAAAAATTTGAGTCTTCTTTCAACTTAAATTGTTCATAATTTTTTTGGAGTCAATTTCTTATTTTATTTATGATTTTCACTATTTTTCTTAAATCTTTTTTACCATCTTTCACCATGTTTTTGGTTTAGGGATAACAGTAGGGAAGAAATTTATTTCTGTGTTTTCATTTTTCATTATGGACTTCTTTTTGTTTTCTGGTGAAAGATGAATTGTTATGCAAAAAATCAGGTAAAGTAGAAGTAGGGTGACATTGTGCCACTCATTGGGTATAGGGTTTCTTTTTAAAAATGTTATTATTGTATTGGTACATAATAGATACATGTATTTTCAGGGTACAAATGAGAATTTACTTCACTGGTGTGGGGTTTCTTATTTTCTACTCATAATATCCCATTGGAAGCTTGAATCAGATCATTTCATTCTACTTCTGCTTGTACACTGTCTACTGGGCAGGAATATGTTCCCTTTAAAAGCCAGTGGCACAGATATAAAAGGCTTCATAATGACCACCAAATATAATCTGATTTGCAGCTGCACACTATGCATATACTCTCTTCTGGCAGATATTTCTTATTTACCTTAGTATACCCAAATGGCACAAAGTCAATTGTTAATATGTATTTATTGTATGGAGAGATACTGATGCTCAGAGAGGTTAATAATTTACTTAAATTTACAGAGTTTTAATATAAAAAAAGCCTAGAATACATTATTTATTCCTAATTTCAAGTCTACTCTCTCTATTATAGTTTTGGTTTACTTCATTTTATTATTTTTTATTTCAGTAAATATAAGTATAAATAATATTTCTATTTTAAAATCTGAATGTGCTTTCTCTCTGTATGATACATCAATCTTTCTTCAAGTGGCTGCTGTTTGTTTTTGTTGAGAAAAACAACTGGATGATTCTTGTTGTTGGGACAGATCTGGCCTTTGAGGCTCGGATAGTTGGAAGATGATTGCTTCAACTAGGGAGCTGAATTTTTCTACAACATTAAAAAAAATTGAGATGTTTTCAATGTCTTGTAATTCCAAGAACAGGATCAGAAAGAGAAAGGAGCCCAGCAAAATGACATTTAGGCCAAGACCCAAAGAAACAAATGACAATTAAAGAAGATTTCCCTTTGGAAGTAATTATCAATGATGCTTTAGATACCACATTGCAATCTGAATTTGTATCTGTCCTGTATAGCACTGTAATTGTTGTACACTGTTCATTAAATCTTTGATAAAATTAACCATCCACAATGGTTGAACTAATTTACATTTCCATCACCAGTATAAACCATGGAATACTATGCAGTCATAAAAAGGAATGACATCATGTTTTCTGCAGAGACATGGATGGAGCTGGAAGCCATTATTCTCAGCAAGCTAACACAGGAACAGAAAACCAAACATCACATGTTTACATCTGTAAGTGGGATCTGAACAAGACGAACATGTGAACACAGGGAGTGGATAAAAACACACTGGGTCTGTCAGGGGGTGGAGGGAAAGGAGAACATCTAGATAAATAGCTAATGGATGCAATGCTTAATAGCTAGGTGATGGGTGATAGGTGCAGCAAATCACTGTGGCACACGTTTACCTATGTAACAAACTTGTGCATCTTGCATATGTATCCTGGAAATTAAAATTTAAAAAATCAAAGGCAAAGAATTTTGCAAAAAAGCAAGAGAAAGTCACTTGTCACATCTAAGGAGAACTCCACAAAACGATTGGCAATTTTCTTCATAGAAACCTTTCAGGCTAAGAGAGAGCTGGATGATATATTCAAAGAAAATATTAACCAAAAATGACTTGCTCAGGGAAGTTATCCTTTAATGATGAATGGGAGATACCTTCCAGACAAACAAAAACTGAGGGAGCTTGTCACCACTACACCTGCCAAAAACAGTGCAAAATGTTCTTCAAGTTGAAAGAAAATGATAAAGTGAAAATCTTATTGCTAAATACAAATATAAAAAAAGTATTGTAAAATGTTAATGATGGCATGTAAATCACTTTTAACACTACTATATAAAATAGAAAACACAACTAGTAAGAATAGCCATAGAATCATACATTTCTTCATGCAAACACAATATTGAAAGAAATAAAATCGCATGTCAATAACATAGTGTTTGTGTCTGGGGGATAGCAAAGAATCAAGTATGCATGCAATTCAAGTTGTTATTGGCTTAAAACAGACTACATTAACTATAAAGTGTTTGATGAGAACCCTGTAAAATATACAGTAGATTATAAAAAATTTAAAAAATCAAAGCACATCACTACAAAAAAATTATCAAATCTCAAAGAAACACAAGAGAAGAATAAAAGGAGTTTATCTTTAGTTTTATCAATAATTAATGCAAATATTACTAAATTTCCAAATCAAAAGATACAGTGTGGCTAGATGGATTTTAAAAAAGCAAGTCTTAATTATTTGCTACCTTCAAGAGACTCACTTTAAATTTAAAGACACAAAGGCCGAAAGTTTAGGGGTAGAGAAAGATACTTTGCTTAAATAGTAACTAGAGAGCAGGGGTGCCTGTACTTGTATCTGACAAATTAGACTTTAGTCAAAAAGTGTCACAAAAGTCAAAGAAGTCATTATATATAATAAAAAACTCTATTCAACAAGAAGATGTAACATCTATAAATATATATGGACCCAACATTAAAGCACCTGAACTTGGAAAGCAAACATAACCATATCTGAAGGGAGGAACAGACAGCAATATGCTATTAGAGAATTTCAATTCCTCACGCTCCATAACGAATGGATAATCCTGACAGAAATTAAGTGAGAAAATAGCAGAACAGAAAGAAAGGGAGATGACTTCTTGTGATGTTTTTGTCTGCCTTTGGTATGAGGGTAATGCTGCCCTCATAAATTAAATTTGGGAGTGCTTCTTCCTCTTCCATTTTTCTTGGAAGAATTTGGGAAGGATTGGCGTGAATTCTTTGAATGTTTGGTAGAATTAACCAGTTATCTTTGTTCACAGTAGCTGTCAGATGTCCAGAGTGCGACAGATCTGGCCAGTGCTGTGAAAGAAGCAAGGGAGAAGCCAGTTGATCAGGTAGCCCCCAGATACGCTGGATTATTGGACTTCAGATTCACTTCTTTCTTAGGGAAATGCTGAGAGCTGAAGTTTTTAAGCTGCTAGTGTTTGTGATGATCCTTGGGGAGGGGCCGTGGAGATTATTAGACAAAACCACCAAATCTGGGTAGATTTCCTGGAAAGTAGCGTGTTGTCTGGATAGCCCCAGAAAAGGTGGGACTTTTGGAAAAGCAGTCCATCTCTTTTCCTCACTAGGAAGAAGTTGGGAGGGTTTTCTTTTTTAAGTCTTATTTCTGGTCTGAGCTGAGGGGGTGCCTATGCTGTATGCTAGTCTATATTGCCTTCTGTTCTCACTGATCTCTGCTGTCAGAGCAGGCCCTGTCCTGTGTCCTGTCAGTGCTGTGACACAGGCAAAACAAGAGCCAGTCCTCTGGATAACCTGCAGAAAAGTTTGGGCACTGGATGCATGGTGTGTCTCAATGCCCTTCCCATGGAAAAGCTTTTGCCTGGTTGCATGGTTCTCTGCCAGGAATGGGGATTATGGCAGAAAGATAATGCAAATGTTCCATCAAAATCAGTATGACTGGTTTTATGCTACAGTGGGGTGTAGGAATATTATAACTAGGTTTAGAAGTCTCACAAATGAAATCTGCCCATGAATTGTGCAGAATTACTTTGTTCATGGGGGAAGGAGAATTGAGAGCTTCCTATTACACCATCTTGCTGACTGAGAAATGAGAGTTTATTTCTGGCTCTGCCTTGGTGGATGTAAAATCCCTAGAGTAAAGGAAAAATTTGAGCAAAACGCTGAGTCCCTAAAGAACTAAAAATAGATTATGGTCCAGAGTGTAAATACAATCCCTTTATTTCCCTATTACTCTTAGAATCTGTTCCTTGGGGAGCAGACTGAGCAAGCTTCTATCCTGCTTATAACAAAGTGCATTGTTTCATTAAACTGACAATAAATCTTCTGGTGTGACAACTGTGATAACATTATTATCACACATCTTTATTAAAGATTTTTTTACCTGCTGCTTGAGAGAAACCAAAATTAAAATCATAAATTATGATGTCTATATCAGGAGTATTTTCAAGACCTGTTGGAAATAATGTCTGGATTGTATCTTAGAGAAAACGAGACCTTAGAGCTTGAAATTGCCCTTCCAGAAACACAAGGGTAAGGAAACAATAAGATAATGCAAAATTTTTCAGGCATAAGAAGGGTGAGTTTCTCAATTCCCTTTATATTAATGTCTTAATTGCTTTGCTGTGGAATTTCAGGGATCTAAGACATTCTACTTTATTTTCCACCCTGACACTCAAATGCAACTGGTGGAAGAATCTGTTCAAGGTAGGAGCTGAGAATGTTCAGGGACATAAGGGACTCAGAGAATGACAAGTTTTGGTCAATAGTTTCTATAAATCGGATTCTCCCTTTTTTCGATTCATGACTTTTTCTGTGACTTGGGGGCAGTAACGTAACTATTTCTAGGTTCCGTTGCTTTTCTCTTGGAGTAGAAACAATGTTCTTGGTTCACCCTCTGACTGGAGTCATATTAGACACTGGTACCAGGTTGCTGAGGTGCCTGCCTCTAATTTCATTGGTGAGGGAAGAAATCAAGTGAATTAAGAAATGATGAAATGAGGGAAGGACAATTCTGTTGGGATCCACCCTTTTCTCTTCCCCCTTGTTATTTCCAGCAGTCTTACTTGCATACGGCAGCACTGGTCCTCTTTGCGTAGGGTTGGCTCTTTGTGATCTTATCTTAGTAAGACTCTGACAAGAGGAAGTCAGTGCCACTCAATTTCATGGCAGTGGTAAAGTCAGATTCTGTGGGTTCAGGTTGGGCTAGTTTCAAATAATCCTAGCAATATCCCATGTTGGGGGAGAAAATATTGTGAGAGGAACTGTGTTGTCCTCTAATGCAACCCTTTTCTCTTGTGTCCACAGATTTTCTTGGAGAAGAATCAATCCTGGAAATGGCTCTTTGGTGACTGAATTCATTTTGGTGGGGTTGACAGACCAGCCAGATCTCCAAATTTCCCTGTTTCTACTGTTTCTAATAATGTATGTGATCACTCTGATAGGAAATTTGGGCTTGGTAATGCTAATTGGGCTGACCTCACACCTTCACACCCCCATGTACTTTTTTCTCTTTAACTTGTCCTTCATAGACCTCTGTTATTCTTCTGTGTTTATACCCAAAATGCTGATGAACTTCATATCACAGAAAAATATTATCTCCTACAAGGGATGCATGATCCAGTTTTTCTTTTTCTGTTTCTTTGCCATTTCTGAATGTTATGTGCTGACCTCAATGGCCTATGATCGCTATGTGGCTATCTGTAACCCACTTCTGTATCACCTTGCCATGTCCCCTACAGTGTGCTTCAGCCTTATGCTTGGTTCCTATCTGATGGCCTTCTCTGGGGCCATGGCCCACACTGGATGCATGCTGAGACTGACCTTCTGTGAGGCAAACACCATCAATCACTACTTCTGTGACATCCTCCCTCTGCTCCAGCTCTCCTGCACCAGCACCTACATCAATGAGCTGGTGGTTTTCATTGTGGTGGGCATCAACATCATTGTGCCCACTGTCACCATCTTTATCTCTTATGGTTTCATCCTCTCCAGCATTCTTCATATCAGCTCCAAGGAGGGCAGGTCCAAAGCCTTCAGCACTTGTAGTTCCCACATAATTGCTGTTTCTGTGTTCTTTGGATCAGGTGCATTTATGTATCTCAACCCATCTTCCGCTGGGTCTATGGATGAGAGAAAAATCTCTTCTGTCTTTTATACCAATGTTGTTTCCATGCTGAACCCCTTAATCTATAGCTTGAGGAACAAAGATGTTAACTTTGCCCTCAGAAAAGCCATAAGTAGGAGAAAATGTTGATCTGAAGCCATATCTCTCTGTGTATTACTTACAGGGCAGGAAGTCTCTGTATTTTATTATAATAATTTAAGAAGGGATATTTTTTACTTTTGCTTCTTATCACGGTGATGGTTAGTTGTGTATCCTCTCAATTTGCCTTCAGTGTTTTTAATAATAGGTTTTCTTCCTCCTCATTATATGTGCATTTTTCTCCTCTTTCATCATTTTTTCCTGCTTAATAGTAAAGTTAAGGAAGTTTTTATTTTATTTTGCGTTAATAATATGGACTTTCTTGCTTTCTCCCGGAAAAGATGAATAGTTTTACCAACAAACAAGTGAAGTAAAACTAGGATGACAGTGTGCCACTGATGGCTACTGGTAATGTGTCATTGCAAATACGAATCAAACCTGTCCCCACTCTTGTTTCTTCATCCTTCACTGGGCAGCATCATGTATCCTTCAAATGCCAGTCTTTCTAAGATACACAGGTTCTACAAGGCCTGTCAAATGCAACCCAGTTTGCAGTTGTAAATACTTGCATTAAACTTCTTTTGGCATACATTTTACACTCACTTTTGTACACCCAGGGTAACTCATGGTGTACACGATCAACATAAATTTTTTGTATGGAAAATACGTTGAAGCTCAGAAAGGTTAATGATTTTCTTAAAATTATACAGACTATTCATGAAAAAGTCTAGAATAAACTAGTAGCCTCCTGATTTTAATTCTACTATTTTTTCTGGTATATTTTTGCTTACTTTATTTTATTATATTTATTCACTAAGCATTGAATATTATATGAGAAAACATTTCTTTTGCGTGGTTGAGTATGCTTTGTTTCTAGACTTATATAAATTCCTTTCGGGATGGCTGCTGTTTTATCTGTTTGTTCTGGAAAACAGCTTTATTTTTCTTTTTACTTTAAAAGAGGAGGCCTGTTGAGGTAGGTTAGGTAAGAGATAATTGGTTCACGTAGAAACTTGAATTTTTTTTTACAAGATTTAAAGAAAAAACAATTTGAAATATTTTTGACATTCATATAATTCAGAGAATAGGGGCATGGAAGAGACAGAAGCCCTACAACATGTCATTAAGCCAGGATTCAAAGAGACACACTGCCACGAAATAGGAGGTGCCTCTATAGAGGACTGTAAATGAGGATTTAGAAACCACGTTTCAATCTGAACTGGTGTCTGTTGTATAGACTACTGTGATCATCCTTCACTGTCATACAATGTGATAAAGGTATAATCCACAATGAGCATATGTTAATACTGGTTTGGGAGTGAATGTGAACACATGGCTACATTTGTAGGGAGTCAGGAGAAGAAAGAACAGAAACTTCAGGAAAAAATTGCGAGTGGTGATTGAAACACAAGAAGAAGGAATTAAGAAAGTGAAAAGAAAATGGAAGCTCCTCCGTATGATGCTGTTCTCTAAATTTGAAGGCCCTAAAAATATTTTGGTGATCACAGAACTTTTCTGAGTATGATGCAGGAAGGCTTAAGTTATCTGATATTAAAGAAAGGCTAAACCTAAAGGCTGGAGGATGGAAAACAACTAAATCACTCATTTTTTTTTTTTTTTTGGTTTTCATTTGCTGTTTTCACATGGATTTTAAGGTGCTAAAACCTTATATTACAGTTGCAAGAACAATGACATTTTGGAGGAAATGTTTGATGAATAAACTAAATCATTACACTTTCTTTTCTAGAATAGGATGTTGCATTAGTTTCCCTCTGGAAAAACAGGCAAGAGATGACTGCTCTTAAAATCCTGTCATTTGCAACAACATGGATGGACTGGAGGTTATTATGTTATGTGAAATAAGCCAGGCCCAAAAAGACAAACTTCACGTGCTCTCACCTACTTGTGGGATCTGAAAATCACAACAATTGAACTCATGGATATGGAGAGTAGAAAGATGCCATTGATGCTCAGGATTAGGTTTAGAATGAGTATGATTGGGTGCACTATGGTGGTTAAGAGCTGACAAAAATTAATGGGAGTTTTGAGTTCTACATCCCTATACTTCCTCAAGTTGCAGTATCAGTTGAAACCCACCCTGTATTCCCCTTTACAGAGACTATTTACACTGCACACAGGCACACATATACAGTAAGAATTTTGTACTCACTAATGTCTAGAAACTTGTTGCAGTGTGCTGTATGTGATCAACATAAATAAAGCACTCTAAGGAGGGAGATATAAAGGTCGATTTTCATAAAACAACATAGAGTTAGATCCTACATGTAGGTAGATTCTAAAGTAGTCTTATATAGTAGAAATTATTCCTGAAAATGAATTGTTTTGGCAACATGATGATAATCAGACTTGCATGGTATTTTCCCATAACTCTAGTACAGTCTTCCCTCTAGAATTTAGGACATTTCACTGTTAATTCAGCTCTGTACTAGATGAAGTAGTTTATAGTTAGGGCCATGTTATAGAAAATATGCACATTGAAACATTAAAATCTTGCTCAGTATAAGGAGATTTTACATCTGAGACAGAGCCTACATCTTCCTCACTGAGGGGGATGCTGTTGGAATCACTTACACTGTTTAAAGACTCTTTGACACAGAGTTCAATTAACTCACTGCAAACATCAGTATAGAGACATGTGCAGGTATTACAGCCGCTCTGGAGGAGAGTTGTGCAGTCTCCTCTGTACTGCCCCATTGTCAGTCTCTATGCTCCCCACTGAAGAACTGAAAGGTAAACAAGGGATGAAATCTTAGATCTCATTTCATATGATGGGCTGGTGCTCAAAGATGTTCATGGCTTGTTCCAAACCACAACTTATAAGATGTAGAGCTGAGACTAGCACTTGAGTATTTGACTCTAAATTCAACAGGGTTTATTTTTAATTATACAAAATTTCTCTACTTTTAAAAATTGGTGAAAAATAGACAATACTGCATTAAATAAAAAGTGCATTGGAATATAAATAACAGTAAAATACTCAAATAAGGAAAATGTTTTACATTTTATATTATATAACTCTATTGGATAATTTAGAATGTATTATTCTATTCTTGTTTTATATCAGCCTATACAATAAATAGAAATACATAAGGGTGGCCTAAAGTAATGATTGTTGTTTTAGTTGCTTACAAACTCCCAGGGTCAGCTGCAAGTTCCTATGTTCAAGATCTTAAATTTAATCTCATCTCAGTGATAATTGTTAGGCACCGTTATGATTAGTCCCATCTGGCAGAAATTGCTGCTATTCACTCTACTTTCAGAACACACATTTCCCAGTTTTTTCTGCAGTGCATTATAGTATGTGAGTCATGAACACCATTCCAGGTAAGAATGTGCCCTTTTCATAATCTTTTTGTCCTTCTGTAGGCCGGATGCAAAGGATAAGGCCCTAGTTAGGTGACAAAGCTATAAAGAAAATCAGGAAGTGACTGCAATCAAGTACAGAGAAAGAGTGGGAGAACAGTTGGTAGTGAAGTCAAGTAGGAGTACATTGAAGGGTTTGAGACACTGCTAATGTTCTATATGTATACCTGCATGGTGGTTATAAGCTGTTCATTTTATGTAATTGGTAAATATGTATATTTTATGCGCCTTATGCAGGTATTTATGCTAAACTTAACAATAAATTGAGGCTGCAAATCTTTGATAGCACTCTACTTAAACTGACATTAAGCTAATCCATAAGCAAACACTGAAATTAATGCCCAATATACACGAACAGCCTTAGTACAGAACACATTGCATAGAAGAAGACGAATAGAAGTAGCATAACACAGCAGAGTAATCCAGGCCCAAACAGGGCAGAGACTATTCCCTTTACTAACCCAATGAAGAATTTCCACTAGTGTCTGTGGGAAGAAGAAAGAGTACAATCCCTTGTATAGATTTGCAGTATGTTAGATGTCATTATGTTTAAGTTAATGGCATATTAACAACAGTAGAATTCTTATTCCCTATTATATAATTTCATTTTCTTCACCTTTTCTGAATTCTTGATAAAGATTTTTCTTAATAGACTTATGCATGCACTATTTTTGACAACTTTGTGATGAAAATAATAAAGGGATATAGAAATATAGAAGTATTTAGGCCTATGGCAAATACTGCGCTTCGAAAGCTGGACTTGTTACAAAACACAGTGACTGAATCAGAACCGGGTATCACAAATTATAATTCAGGTTCGGAGATTATGCAGCAGTAACTTTGTGTTGAGTCCCAGAATATTGAGTTAGAGCAGTTTTCTATTTCTCCTCCTTAGAGAAGCGTTGCTCCTGGAGTAGGATATCCCTGAATTTGAAGGTGGAAAGCAGGTTGATTTAAGAAAAGTGGAGATTGGCCTTTGCATATATATACTCATAATACAATCATTATAAAATATTTTAAATGCACGTGATACAGGAACAGAAAACCAAACACCGCATGTTCTCACTCATAAGTGGAAGCTGAACAATGAGAACACATGGACACAGGGAGGGGAACATCACACACCGGGGCCTGTCAGGGGTGGGGGGCTAGGGGAGGGATAACATCAGGAGAAATACTTAAAAGAGATGACAGTTGGTGGGTGCAGTAAACCACCATGGCACATGTATACCTATGTAACAAATCTGCATGTTCTGCACATGTATCCCAGAATTTAAAGTATAATTTAAAAAAGGTAAAATAAATAAATAAATATAGGTAATAGATATAAGATTAATTTCCAGTATGGTTTATAATTAAATAAAAAGTGAGATAATAGTACCACTGAAAATGGGAAATTCTGGAGTCTATTGAAGGATTGCGCAGTAAGTTGCAGCCAATTTCAGCTCTTAGCACAGTAGCAGCTACACATACTCCACCATCCAGCCCCCTGGCAGCCAGTCATGCTAATGTCCCAGGAGCAGCTTGCATACAGCTTGAGAGAGCCAGGGTAGGGGAAAAGGACGCTGCACTCTGCTCTGATTGCTGCTCTAACTATAGATGTGCAAACAAGACTTTGGCCATTTTTGTTGCACCTCTTACCCTGTTGCAAGCCCCTCCCTCACTGGCTTAGGTGACTTCCAGGGAATTTAAAGATTAGTGGTCTTTTCCCTTTTTCATTTTTCTCTTTTCACCTTTTATGAGACAGATATAAAAAACGAGGACATGCAAAAGCAACTGTATTTAAAGGGGAAATCTGAAAGTCACTGTGCATGCCAGAAAAAATTGCAGGCTTAGAAAAGAACTGAGAGGACATTTAGTTTACTCCTCAGACTGATGTTTGATACAGGAAGCCTACAACAATTCAAGAAACTAAAAACAAAAAATAAACAAAAGCAAAAAAATAGCAAACCCTGGTAAGTGAAAGAATCTGGCTTCTAGATTTGCCACATTATTAAATTTTTCAAAATGTCCATTTTTCAAAAAAAAAAAATACAAAGTATACAAAGAAACAGGAATATAAGGCCCATTAAATGGAATAAACAAACAGAAACCGTCATTGAGAAAGATCCCATGGGAGATCTACTAGACAAGTCTTCCCGACAACTGTCTTAAAGATGTTCGAAGAATGTAAGGAAAATTAAAGAAAGTCAATAAAGTGATGTATGAATGAAACAGAAATAAAGAGAAAACCAAAAAGAAACAAAAAATCTGAAGTTTAAAAGTACAATAAATGAAATTAAAAAACTACTAACGGCATCAAAAGGCAGAAGAGAGAATTCGTGAACTTGAAGATAGGTCAATAAAAATTATTGAGTCTGAGAAACAGAAAGCAGCATTATTTACAATACATAAAACATGGGAAGAACTCAAATGTCTTTTGACTGATAAATAGAAAATCAAAATGCGGTATATACATACAATAAAGTATTGTTCAGCCCTACAAAGAAAGGAAATTCTGATGTATGTTACAACAGGCTTGAACCTGGGGGATACTATGCTATGCTACATGAAATGTCAGTCACGAAAAGACAAATGTTGTATGATTCCACTCATTTGACATGGAGAAGTCAAAATCATAACATAGAAAGTAGAATTATGAGTGTCAAGAGCTGGGAGAAGGAGAGAATGTGGAGTTATTGTTCAATGGATAAGCAATTTCAGTTTTACAGGAGAAATAGAATCTTTGAGATGGATGATGATGGTAGCACATTATAAGTGTATTTAATACCACTGAATTGTATGCTTAAAATATTTTAAATGGTAAATTGGAAAGGACTGGAGGTCAGGTAATTCTCAATCGGGGGTTAGGCAATTGGAGGTGGAGGCAATTCTCAGTTTCTATAGGTCCAAAGGGCCTAACTAACTCTGTCTTAAAGTTACAAGGATTGACACCACCACACCCAGATAAAAGCAGCCACAGAACCCAAGGAAGAAAGTCCCATTTACCAAGCTGAACCACTCTCAGATCTAAGATTCCTGTTCAAAAGGACAGACAAGAAATCCCAACTGGATAGGTAACCTTGGACCTACATGTTCTTTCTGCCAGGACTTGATCTACTTGCCTTGTTTACAGGTAGTCTCATCTGTGCTTTCAGAGTTTAGAGCTCATGCCTCTGGAAAACACACGGCATCAAAGAGAGTGTACCCTACGGCACCCACCTCAAAGCTATTATTATACTTGATAACTGCCTCTTGATTACCTCTTGGCAGAACAAGGTCTGGTGTGTGCAGTCACCAACTCTCCCTATTGTTCCTTGGCAAATAATTCAAGGTTAATTAAAAATTGGGCCAGGCCCGGTGTCTCACACCTGTAATACCAGCACTTTGGGAGGCCGAGACCGGTGGATCACGAGGTCAAGAGATTGAGACCATCCTGGTCAACATGGTGAAACCCCGTCTCTACTAAAAATACAAAAAAATTAGCCGGGCGTGGTGGCGCGTGCCTGTAATCCCAGCTACTCAGGAGGCTGAGGCAGGAGAATTGCCTGAACCCAGGAGGCAGAGGTTGTGGTGAGCCGAGATCGCGCCATTGCACTCCAGCCTGGGTAACAAGAGCGAAACTCCGTCTCAAAAAAAAAAAAAAAGAAATTTTAAACAATGTATCAAAACACACAAACAAAAATACAACGTGACAAAACTTACAAGTTGCAGTAAAAGCAGTGCTAAGAAGGAAGTTTAAAGCTATAAACACCTATGTTAAACAATTACATCTATCTCAAATAACTTTATACCTTAAGGAGCTAGGAAGAAAACCCAATATGTTGGTGCATTAAATTGCAAATTAGAAACAGGAAGAAAGTAATAAAAATTTGACTATAAATAAATTAAAGAATGGAAACGATAAAAAATCAACATAAATAAGAGTTTGTTTTGTGAAAACAAAAACAAAAACAAAAAACAAAACAGAAATCCTTAGTTATATTAACTAAGAAAAATAGAGAGAAGGCTTTTCTTCTGATTTTTTTTCTGGCTTGGGTATCAAGTTAACGCCGGTCTCATAAATTAAATTTGAAAGTGTTCCCTGTCTTCAATGCATTGGAAGAGTTTGAGAAGAATTGGCATTAATTCTTTAAATGTTTGGTAGAATATGCCAGACATCTTTGTTCTCAGAAGCTGCCAGCTGTCCAGAGGGTGCAAGGTCCAGTCAGCACCCTGAAACAAGTGAGGCAGAAGCCATTTGCTCAGGTAGCCCCTCAAATTGTTGGATCACTGGACTTCTGATACACCTCTTTCCCTCCTTAGGGAAATGCTGAGAGCTAGAGTTCGGATTAACTGCTAGCGTCTGTGATGGACCTTGGGAAGAGGCTGCACTAATTACCAATTCAAATAACAAATTTGGACCCTGTTCTCATTGGACTCTGGAAGCTGGAGTATGTTGCAACCTGTGTCCTGCCAGCGCTGTGAGATTGCCTAGACAGGAGCCAGTCTTCTGTATAGTCCCCAGAGACATTAAGCATTAAGGCATTGGAAGAGTGAAGTATATCTCTTTCCCTCTCCAGGGAGAAGCTAGGAGGGCCCCTCCCTGCCTCCCTCCCTTCCTCCCTTATTTCCTTTCTTTTTCCCTGCCTCCCTCAGTCCCTCCATCTCTCCTTCCCTCTGTTCCTCCTCTCCTCTCCTCCCTCCCTCTCCTTTCTCTTTCTCTCTTCTCTTTTCCTTTCTCTCTCCCTTTCTCTTTCTTTTTCTCCCCCTTTCTCTTTCTCTCTTCCTTTCTTTCTCTCTTCCTTTCTCTCTCTCTTCCTTCCTCTCTCTCTTTCTTTCTTTTTCTTTCTCTCTTCTATCTCTGTACTAAGCTATTTTGTCTACACTGCCTACTCTGTTCCCACTGGCCTTTAGTAATCAGAGCATACCATGACTTATGTCCATGTCAGTGCTAGGAGACAGGCTACATAGAAGCAAGTCCTCTGCATAACCTGTGGAAAAGGTGGGGCATTGGATGTGTGGTGTACCTCAATGTCCTTCCCAAGGAGAAGCTTTTATTCCAATTGCATGATGCTCTGCCAGAAATAGAGATTATGGCACAAAGATAAGGCAAATGTTCCTACCAGATTCCATGTGGCTTGTTTTATGCTAGACTGGGGTGTAAGAACATTGTAACTAGGTTGAGAAGTGTCACAAATAGAATCTGTCCATGAATTGTTATGGAATTACTTTGTTCATGGGGGAAGGAGGATCTAGGGCTTCCTGTTGCACCATCTTGCTCACTGAGAAATGAAAGTTTATTTCTGGCTCTACAGGGCTGATGTACAATCCTCTGAGTGAAAAGAAAACTTGAATAAAATATTGAGTCTCTAAGGAACCAAAGGCAGATTATGGTCCAGGGTGTAAAGACAATTCCCATGTTTTCTTGTTACTCCTAAAATCTGTTTCCTGGGGAAGAGACTTGAGCAAGCTTCTATTCTGTTTATAACCACATGTATTATTATCCTTAAACTCATATTAAATCTTCTGGTGTCTTATCAAATGGCATATATGGTAACAATAAAGACTTTATTTTTCCTGATGCTTGAGAGGATTCAAAGTAATAATCATAAATTAGATGGTCTGTAGCTCAGAAAAAAATTCAGAACATACTGGAATAGAGTTTGGGCTATATCTTCTTAGAAGCAAAAGCCTCAGATGCTGAAATTGCCCTTTTAGTACCACAAGATAAGTAAACAATAGAAAACACTGAGATTGTGGCATAAGAGGGTCTATTTCTGAATTCTATTTATATTACTGTCTTGCTTTGAAATGGAATTACAGGGATATAAGATATTGCTCTTTATTTTATACCTCGTCAGCCTTGATATTCAAGTACAACTGGTTTAAGAATCGATTCAAAGTGGGAGCTGGGAATGTTCAGAGAAAACAGCAAAAGGAGTGGATGTGGTATTTCAGTCAGTATTTCCCTCTCCACGAAGGAAAATCTCCCTCCTCTAGATTTATAGCTTTCTTTTTTCCTGTGACTTGAAGTAGTAATGTAACCTTTTCTAGATTTGGGTCCTTTACTTGTGTATTAGAAACAAGATTCTTTGTCCCCACCACACCAGAGTCCAATCTGCACTAAAGGTGGGCACCAGATTGCAAAGGTCTCTGCTTCCAATTTTAATGGTGAGGGAGGATTCAAGTGAATGGAGAAATGTTGAGATGAGGGAAGGATGATTCTGTCCCAGTTCATCCTTCTTCTCCCTTATGCTATCTCTTCTTAAGAGTTATGTTTGCATATGTCAGAACCAGCCTTCACTCCATAGGCTAAGTTTGTGCTATATTTGGCTTAGTAAGAGTCTATCATGGGTAAGTCAATGTCACTCAGTAACATGGTAGCGGTAAAGGCAGATTCTGTGGGTTCTCATTAGTCTAGTTTCAGACCATCTCAACCATATTCCAAGTTGTGGGAGAAAATACCCTGGGAAGTTCTGGGTTGTCTTCTTATGCAACCCTTTTATCCTGTGTCCAAAGATTCCACTGGAGTAGAATTGCTCCTGGAAATGACTCTTTGGTGACTGAATTCATTCTGGTGGGGTTAACAGACCAGCCAGATCTCCAACTCCCCCTGTTCTTTCTGTTTCTTGTAGTGTATGTTTTCACTGTGATAAGAAACTTTGTCTTGGTAACTCTACGTGGAATTCACATTTTCACACCCCAATGTACTTTTTCCTTTCCAAATTGTTCTTCACAGACCTCTGCTATTCTTCTGTGTTTATATTCAGAATGCTAAGGAACTGTGTTTCAGAGAAGAATGTTATCTCCTACATGGTTTGCATGATGTAGCTTTTCTTTTTCCGTTTTTTTTTTATATTTTTGAATGTTACATGCTGACGTCAATGGCCTATGATTGCTGTGTGACCATCTGTTACCCACTTCTTTATAACATTGCCATGTCCCCTCAAGTGTGTTTCAGCCTTATGCTTGGTTCCTACTTCCTGTCCTTTTCTGGTGCCATGGCCTACACCAGATGCACGCTGAAGCTGACCTTCTGCGATGCAAACATCATCAGTCACAACTTCTGTGACATCCTCCCTGTGTTCCAGCTCTCCTGCACCAGCACCTACATCAATGACCTGATGGTTTTCATTGTGGCAGCCATCAACATCAATGTGCCCCCTGCCACCTTATTTATCGCTTATGGTGGCATCCTTTCCAGCATCCACCACATCAGTTTCAACGAGAGAAGATCCAAAGCCTTTGGCACTTGTAGTTCCCACATAATTGCTGTTTCTCTGTTCTTTGTATTTAGTGCATTTATGTATCTCAAATCATCTTCTGCTTGGTCTATGGATGAGGGAAAATTCTTTTCTGTTTTTTATATGAATGTGCTTCCCATGATGAGCTCCTTAATCTACAGCTTATGAAGCAAAGATGTTAAATTAGCTGTGGGAAAAGCTCTGAGTAGAAGAAATGTTGTCATAAACACATTTCTCTGTGCATGTAACTTACAGGATGGAGATGATCTGTACTTTATTATAATAATTTAGGAGGAAACAGTTTTTCCTATTTGTTACAGTGATGATGATTAGTTGAATATCATCCTGTTAATCTGTCTCCAATTTTTTATAGTAGATTTTTTTCCCTTACCCTTGGCACATCTCTCCTTTTTTTCCTCATTTTTACTGCTTAATAATAAAGTTAAAAAAGTTTTTCTTTTTTTTCATTGTCATTATGGACTTCCTTTTTTCTTTTTGAAAAGATGATTGGTTTCTCAAATGACCATGTAAAGTGAAACAGGATGACAATGTTCCACTGCATATGAGAATCTGACAACCTGTCTCTACTCTTGTCTTTCCATCCTCCGCTGGGCAGCATCACGCATCCTTTAAATGCCAGTGTTTTCCAGACAAAGTTCAACAACACCTTTGCAGTTTAAAATACTACACATGAGATTTCTTTTGGTGTTAATTTTACATTTAACCTTTGTATATCCCAAATAGCTTATATAGATCATTAATGCACATTGATTGCATCTATGAGATGCTGAAACAGACGCTAATGATTCACTTAAAGCCACACAATTTCTTTATTTAAAAAGCCCAGAATAAGTTAATAGACTCTTGGTTTCAAGTCTACTACTCTTTCTGGTAAAGACTTTATTATTTTACTTCATTAAACATGAAATACTATATGAGAAAGCATTTCTTTTGGACAGTTAAGTGCACTTTGCTTCTAGATGATATATAAGTTAATCTCGGGATGGTTGTTGCTTTAGTTTTTGGTTCTGGGAAACAATCTGTGTTTTTGGGACTCTGTGAAAGTGGAGATCTATTAAGCTGAGATAGTTGCAAATTGATTAGTTCAAGGAGGGAGCTGATGTATTTTACAAAATCAAAAAGCATATTGAAACATTTTCTGGCATTTATAATTCAGAGAATAGAGGTATAGGAGAGACAGGACCTAGCAATGTGTCATTTAAACAAGAATCCAAAGAGACACATAGCCAATATACTAGAGGTCTCTGTGTGGGAATTATCAATGAGGATTTAGAAACCATCTGAAATTCTCAATCAATTTAAATTCTCAATCTTAATTTGTATCTGTTCTGTAAATTACTGCAACTATCTTTTACTAACATAAAGTTTTAATAAAATTCGTAATCCACAATGACTATACACTAAATAATGTTTCAAGGAGTGAATGTGAAAAGTCTGTGGTCACATTTGTGGAGAACCAGGAAGAGAAAGAAAGGAAACTTCAACCAGAAAAATAATGAGTGGTAACAGGATCTCAAGTTAGGAAGGAGAAACCTAGAAAGTAGAACCATTGAAACTTCTACCTATAACTCCTTTTTCTCTAAATGGGAAGGCCTTACAAATATGGTGATCACAGAATTTTTCTGAGTAGGATGAAGACATAAGCTATGTGATATTAAAGAAAGGTTAAACCTGAGTCTTGGAGGAACCCTCCTCAGACAACTAAATCACTCATAGTTTTGTGGCTTTGATTAGTTATTTTCATATGGATTTTAAGGTATTAGAACCTCATATTGCAGTTGTGAGATTATATAAACCCATAATAACGTATGAAAGGGTATGTACTAGGTTATTAACATGAAATAAATAAGGGCAATGAATTGGAGTGAGCTAAGAGGAAGGTAGTGCTGAGTAAAAAAAAAAAAGTGATTTCTCCTAAAAAATTTGAGAGTTATTATGTGTTATATGACCATGTATGTCATAGTGTTAAAATTATATAACTATGCAGACTGTGTGTGTGAATGTAACATATTTTTTGACAGGCATTTCAGGGGTCACTAACTGTGTGATAATAACTGTATCTAAAAGTCAAACAATCACTGTTAGAAAAAAAGGGGAGAAGAAAGATCCCAATCTTTTATGTCTGGAGGAATGTGCTATTTGTGATGTAAAGTTCTGAATAGAATATTAAGCCTCCCGAGATGGCACTCTTACTGCCTCTATATGACTTGGATTCTATGGTAGTTCTACTTTTAGTGTTTTAAAAAAACCTCAATATTGTTTTTCCAATGGCCCTACAAATGTACATTCTTACCAACGGTGTGTAAGAGCTCCTTGTGGCATTTGTTATATATATATATATATATATATATATTTTTTTTTTTTTTTTGATGATAGCCAATTTAACTGGGGTGAGATGATAGCTTATGGTGGTTTTTATTTGCATTTCCCTGAGGATTACTGATTTTGAGCCTTTTTTGTTTACTTCTTGGCCATTTACATGTCTTCTTTTGAGAAATGTTTATTCAGATCCTTCGCTCATTTTAAAATATATATATATATATATTTTTTGGCTGTCAAGTTGTTTGAATTCCCTGTTGGATGAATAGTTTGAAGATATTTTCTACCTTTCTATCGGTTGTCTCTTCTTCACTCTGTTGTTTTCTTTGTTTTACCTAAGGTTTTTATGTCAGAGAGTTCTACTTGTTTTTGTTTTATTACCCGTGCTTTTGAAGTCTTACCTGCAAAATTTTTGCCTTGACCAATGCCTTGCAGGGTTTCCCATATGTTTTCTTCCAGTAATGTTATAATTTGTGGTTTTCATATATAAGACTTTAATCCATTTTGAGTTGAGTTTTATATATATGTGAGATAGGGATCTAGATTCATTCTTTTGCTTATGGATATTTAGTTTTCTCAGGACTATTTATTGAAGAGGGTGTCCTTTCCCCAATGTGTACATTCATGGCATCTTTACCAAAACCAGTTGGTTGTAAATATATGGATTTATTCCTAGGAGATCTAGTCTGTTCCACTGAACATGTGTTTTTATGTCACTATCATGCTTTTTTGGTTCCTATCACTTTTTAGTATATCTTGAAGTCAGGTAGTATAATGCCTTCAGCTGGTTATTATCAGTATGTCTTTGGCTATTTAGGATCTTTTGTGATTCCAAGTGAATTTTAGAATTATTTTTTCCATTTCTGTGAAGAAAGTGTTTGGTATTTTGACAGGGGTTGCATTGAATTTGTATATTGCTTTGAGTAATATGACTATCTTAACAATATTAATTCTTATAATCCAGGAACATGAGATATCTGTCCATTGTTCTGTGGTCTCTTCAGTATCTTCCATTACCATTTTATAGTTTTCATTACAAAGAAATTTTACCTCCTTGATTAAATTAATTTCTAAGTATTTTCTTATTTATTTGTAGCTATTATAAATGTCATTACTTTCTCGAGTTTTTTTTCATCGGTTTATTATTGGTGTGTAGAAACATCACTGAGTTCTGTATGTTGATTTCATATCCTGAAACGTTACTGAATTCATTGATCAATTCGGAGAGTTTTTTGGTGGGGTCTAGGTTTTTCTATATGTAAGATTATAGAGGGACAATTAGATTTTCTCTTTTCCAATTTGGATGCCTTTTTTTTTTTTCTCTTAGCTAATTGCTCTGGCTAGCTCTTCCTGTACTATGTTGAATAGCAGTGCTGAAAGTAGGCATCCTTGTCTTGTTCTATTTCTTAGAGGAAACACTTCAAGTTATTTCCCATTTAGTATGATGTTAACTGTTTAAATATATGTCCTTTATTATGATGAGGTATGTTCCTTTTATATCTAATTTGTTGAGAGTGTTTTTCATGAAGAAATGTTGATTTTTATCAAATGCTTTTTCTGCATCTTGAAAAAAATTATGATTTTTGTCCTTCATTCTGTTGATGTATTACATTTATGATTTGATTATATTGAAGAAAATGTGCATTCCTGGGATAAACCCCACTTGATCATAATGTATTAACTTTTGGATGGATTCACCTTTCTAGTATTTTGTTGAGGATTTTTGAATCTGTGTTCATCACCAATGTTGGCCTATATTTGTGTGTGTGTGTGTGTGTGTGTGTGCGTGCGCACGGGCTTGTCTAATTTTGGTATCAAGGTAATGCTGGATTTGTAGAAGGAGTCAGGAAAAATTTTTTTGTATTGAATTTTTTGAAAAAAATTGAGAACTGGTATTAGCACTTATTTATGTGTTTGGTAAAATTCAGCAGTAAAGTTATCTGGTTCCGAGCTTTTCCTTGTTGACAGACTTTATTACTGATTCAATCTCATTACTTGTTATTGGTCTGTTCATGTTTTCTATTTCTTCTTGGTTCAATCTCAATAGCTTATATGGATTCAAAAATTTATCTATTTCTTTTAGGCTTCCTAGTTTTTTTGCATATCATTTTTTTATAATAGACTCTAATCATCCTTTGTATTTATGTGGTATCAGTTGTAATACCTTTTTGTCATTTCTGATTTTATTTATTTGGGTCTTCTCTTTTTTTCTTAGGCTAGATAATGGTGTGTCAATTTTGTTTCTCTTTTTAAAAATCAACTTTTCACTTATTTGATCTTTTGTATTGTTTTTTAGTCTCTATTTTGCTTAGTTTTGCTCTGGTTTATATTATTTCTTTTCTCCTGATAATTTTAGGTTCTTTTTTCCCTTGGTTTTCTAGTTCCTTGAGATGCATACTTAGATCATTTTAAAAATTTACTCTCCTTTGTTGCTCTAGGGACTTATTGCAATAATCCTCCCTCTTAGTGCTATTTTGATGGTATCTCAGAGGTTTTGGTATAACTTGATTCAATTTTTATTTGTTTTAAGAAATCCATTTTTTCATTGATCAATGGTTGTTTTGGGACATGGTATTTAATTATCATGCATTTGTACAGTTTCCAAAGTTCCTTTTGATACTAATTTCAAGTTTTATTCCACTTTTTCCTGAAAATATAATTAATATGGTTTTGGTTTATAAGTATTTGTTGGGATTTGTTTTGTGTGGTCCAACACATGGTCTATTCTGGAGAATGTTTTTGTGTGTGCTGAGGAGAATCTGAAAGTCTGTTGTTCATCCATAATCTTAGCTAGATCTTCTGGATGACTTGCTTCAGCTGCTATGTCC